TCCATTTTAATTTGGAGAACGGGTCACACCTGGGTGCGAATTAGCTCCCGGGCCGGGTGCGAATGTTGCAGCTGTGCTCAAATCCCATGGGACGTGGCCGGCCGTCTTGTGGGCTGCAAACACCAGCGTCACAGAGGGAAGAGGTGCTCTGGGGCTTGTGAAAACCTTGTGATGGCCGTGATGGTCTGTCCTAGGACCCGCACGTCTCCTCAGCACAGCCGTGTGCTGTTTGGTGATGAGTCAATCCACTTCCCTGTTCTCTCAGGATGGATTTCCTGCAGTACTTTGCAGACAGTTACAGAATCACAGAATGGTTTGGATTGGAAGGGACCTCAAAGATCATCTAGTTCCAACCACCCTGCCATGGGCAGGGACAACTTCCATACACCAGGTTGCTCAAAGCCTCATACAACCAGGCCTTGAACACTTCCAGGGATGGGGCAGCCACAGCTTCTCTGGGTAGCCTGTGCCAGTGCCTGACCACTCTGAGGGAAGAATTTCTTCCTTAGATCTCATTGAAATCTCCCCTCTTTCAATTTAAAGCCATTGCCCCTTGTCCTGTCACTACACGCCCTTGTCCAAAGCCCCTCTCCACCTTTCTTGTAGCCCCTTTAGGTACTGGAAGGCTGCTAGAAGGTCTCCCCAGAGCCTTCTCTTCTCCACGCTGAACAACCCCTACTCTCTCAGCCTGTCTCCAGAGCAGAGGTGCTCCAGCCCTTGCATCATCTTCGTGGCCTCCTCTGGACCTGCTCCAACAGCTCCATGTCCTTCTTGTGTTGGGGACCCCAGAGCTGAACACAGCAGTGCAGGAGGGGTCTCCTGAGAGCAGAGCAGAGGGGCAGAATTCCCTCCCTTGACCTGCTGCCCACGTTGTTTTGGATGCAGCCCAGGACACAGTTGGCTTTCTGGGCTGCCAGTGCACATTGCTGGCTCATGGTGAGCTTCTCGAGCAGATCTCCTGGACTCACCACCCACCCCTGCTCCTCTCCGGGTGCAGGTGATGGCATGGAGAGTGGTGCTGAGGACCCTGCTCCATCCGGACCATCTTCATCTCATGTTTGGTGAAATGGGATGAGGATGGATCCACAGGGCATTTGCATTAAGGGCTTAGGCAGAGACCAAGGAGACATCCAGATGAAGAGACAGTTGGATCACCACCATAAAGCCATCTATTTCCATCACCTGATGATTTTAAAGCCAGAAGACACTTATTGATGGTAAATCTGTGCCTTGGAGCCAGTGATTGGCAGATCATCCATAAGATTAGAGCATTTTTGGGTGCATAGATGGAGGTGATTACATCTGTGCACATCTGGAGCTGTGGTTTTCAGCTGGCTTTGATCAAAGGATCCCTTCTGAACCCACTCATGCCTGCCTTGGGTCCACAAATACAAGCCATGCACCTTGTTCTTGGAGGAAAATGCTGATGCTGTGTTGTAGCTTCGCTGTAGGAGCAAGTTAGGGATTGGGAATCCCACCACCTATTTCTCGACCCAGAAGGCACCTGGTACCAGATTTAAGTTCACGTGAAGGTGCTGAGCTCCACATCAAGAGGCAGCCTTCAGTAGAAAAAAAAATACTTCCTTTTTTTTGGCTGGGATGTGGCACACATGAGTTTTATTGCAGAGAGAGGAGAGTCCTTTTCGTTTCTGCTGGAGTCAACTGATTTTCCTACCAACTTTGATAAAATCAAGATCAGACCTAAAATGAAGAAAGAAGTGGTTGTGTGGCATGTGAACTGGTGGAGCTCATTGGTGCTCTGCCTAACCTTACTGAAGCCGAGACCTTTTTCCTCAGCATTATTTCTGCGCTAAAATCTAGAATCGTGCCTGTTTCTCTCTGATTTGAACCAAAATTAGGTGCTTCTCCAGGAACAGGCAACTAAAGGAACTGAAAGGTGTCACTCTGGTGTCTTTGCTTGTAGGTGTTTTCTGGGATGATTTCTGATATTTTTCCTTGTAGATGTTTTCTGGCATTCTCTTTTCTTCTGGTTGTTTGCACAGAGCTTGAGTCGCGTCACCTCGCTGGAGAGATGATGCACGGACTGTAATTACAGGATCCATGCAAGACTGTGGCAAACCCTTTACTCAAGCAAGCTCCCCCCAGAATGAGCTCCTTTGCAGCTCCAACAGGTTTGTTTCTGCTGCTCTTCTGAGTTCACAGTGTAGGACACACCTTCTCTACTTGGACTTGTTAGGAGGAGAGGCTGATGAGGAGCACATGCCCAGAGCGATCCGTGGATCACAGTGTTTTATAACCCTTCATGGATTTTTTTTTTCTCAATCTTCTCCAGTGTTCCCTTGAAGCCAATCGACCTTCAGCACCTACAGTGTCCCTTGACTGGGAGCTAAGCAGCTCATCTCCGTAAAGAAATGCCTCACTTTTTAATCATCAGAGCAACATTTCCAATGGTGCAAGTATTCGAGAGGATGCTTGCCTTGCTTAGCAAGCCCCTGATCATCCTGCACGACCCTCATCTCCCTTAGAAATGATGTCCTGGTCTTCCAGACCAGATGATTCTGCACATCTTGCACTGGAACAGGGTGTACAGCATGTTTTGCACCAAGCAAAGAGACTCGGGGAGCTTGGCTAGAGGGAAAGGGCTTTGGGTGGGCACAGCACAATGCCTGGGGATTCTCTCAGGCTTCATCTGGTCTTGGTGAAGATGTACATGGTGAGTAGAAACAAATACAGGAGGAGAAAGGCTGGTTGCACCTGGGAAGCGGTGTGCTCGACCCCAAAATACGCTACAGCAAGGCATCCTGAAAAAGCAAGTGTGGGATCAAAAGCATTTGCTCTCTCAAAGTCTCCTTTGAAAATGAGCTTGGGACGTGCAGCTGAGGCTGCAGAGTTTTCTCTCTAGGGAAGGTGTTGGTTTGCACATCATCTTTGAGCAGCTCTTGGCACGTTCACACCCTGTTGTGGCTGAATTTCCCCAAATATTGATAAACTGGAAAATGTCGACGTGTTCTGGCACCTCCAGAATTCCCTCAGCTTTCTCACCTTGATTTTTCCATTCCAACAGGCCAAATCCTTTCAGGGACTCCCTGTCCTGCAGCTCCCTCTTGATCCCTTTAGAAATTTTGACAGGAGTCTGCAGCATAATTTTCCATGGCTTTGGAAAGCTGGAGTCAGGCTTCTCTTGGCCCTGACAACTGAGCTGACTTGAGTTAACTCGTCTGAAGGGCTGAGGCTTCATTCCTGTTACATTTGTCTTTCTTCCTGGAGCCTTCCAAGGGATCAAGATGACTACATTCCCTAGTGAGGACCAAGCTGGCTCAGAGGATGCTCTCGGCTGCCGAAATAGTTGCTGATCTTCTGCAGATGAGCCTGGCACATTACGGTTGTTGTTTGTCCTGGTTTTGCCCCCCAGCATCAATCTTCTTGGACAGTAATGAACAGACAAATACCACTGCGATCTTTCTCTGATGCACCTGTTTTTCTCATGTATGCTAGATTAGACACCATCAGATATCACCAGACATCATCAAGGTTTCATAGATTCATAGATTCATGAACAAGGCCCACCTCTCAAGCCTGTCGAGGTCCCTCTGGATGGCATCCCTTCCCTCCAGTGTGTCCACAACACCACACAACTTGGTGTCATCTGCAAACTTGCTGAGGGTGCACTCAATCCCACTGTCCATGTCACCAACAAAGATGTTAAATAGCACTGGCCCCAGTACTGACCCCTGAGGAACATCACTCGTCACTGGCCTCCACTTGGACATTGAACCATTGACCACAACTCTGAGTGCAACCATCCAGCTAATTCCTTATCCACCGAGTGGTCCATCCATCAAAACCGTGTCTTTCTAGTTTAGAGTCAAGGATGTCATGTGGGACAGTATCAAATGCTTTGGATAAGTCCAGGTAGACAATGTCAGTTGCTCTTCCCCTACCCATCAATGCTGTAACCTCATCATAGAAGGCCACCAAATTAGTCAGGCAGGATTTGCCTTAGTGAAGCCATGTTGGCTGTCACCAATCACCTCCTTATTTTCTATGTGCCTTAGCATAGTCGCCAGGAGGAGCTGCTCCATGATCTTGCCGGGCACAGAGGTGAGACTGACTGGCCTGTAGTTCCCTGGGTCTTCTTTTTTTCCCTTTTTAAAAAAGGGGGCTATGTTTCCCCTTTTCCAGTCAGTGGGAACTTCACCAGATTGTCACGACTTCTGAAATAGCCACTTCATCTGCCAGTTCCCTCAGGACCCGCGGATGCACCTCATCAGGTCCCATGGACTTGTCCACCTTCAGGGTCTTTAGATGGTCTCAAACCTGATCTTCTTCTACAGTGGGACGTT